GCCCCGTCCTGGCCGTGTCCTTGGCCGTCGGGTACTCGGCGTCCCCTCCAGGGCCGGGGCCAGCGGCCGCGGAGTCACCGAGGGGGCCGTGGGCACTCCGCTTGGCGGGCGTGCTGGGGGCCTGGGCCGCCTGCCCGTTCTTCTCGTCTGAAAAAAGTTGTTTAATTACGTCAAAGAAGTTACTCAATGGGCTGCCTGGGTACACAGAACAGAAGACAAAAGAAAAAACAAGAAAAAAGAAAAGAAGAGAAAGAGGAAGGGGGTAAGGAGAGAGAAAGAGAACAAACAAATGAACGAAAGGGTCTCCACGAAGAAAGAAAACCCAGCGAGATGAGGTCTGAGCCGGGCTTGGCAGGCGGGGGCAGGTGGGCAGCAAGCGGGGCAGGCAGGTGGAGAGACCCCTCCTCCCTCACCAGGCCTGGCCCCCCTCCACCTCAGCCACCAGTCCCCCCCCCATCCACCCCAACGCCTGGCCAGCTGGCCAGTCCCACTCTGGACACTGAGACAGAGAAACCAGCACTGCCCCAAGCCCCAGGGCTGAGCAGGAGCCTGGGACCCCAGGCTGGCTCCGTGCAGGGGACCAGGGGGCCTTCTCTGGGCTGCGGAGGCTGGAGCCAGTGTGCCCACCACACTCCTCCCAGGAGGCTTGGAGCCCGGCCCCTGCCAGCCCGGGCAGCACCGCGTGGACACAGGGGTCAGCAGCAGACAGACAGATGGACGGATGGGTGGACAGGCATGGAGGGCTTGGGTGTGGGAGGGCTGGGGGCAGGCAGCCAGACTGGGAGCCCTGATCCCAGAGGGAATGTCCTGAGGGCAAGAGGAAGAGGGCAGAAATGGTCTGACCACCCCCACCTGGGGGGGCCTCTTCTCTGTCCTGATGCCTCTGCCCTGCTCTACTTCTTACACCTGACGCCGCCAGCCCAGAGCAGCGCTGTGCGTGCATAGCACACTGTCACCCCCTCCAGTGGACAGAAAGCTTCCCACCAGCCTCCTGCCCAGATCTGGAGTCTGCCCAGACCCCAGGCCAGAGCCCACACACGGGACCCTTGCCAAACTTGGGGCATGCGGACGCTTTACTGCTCTGAGCCCTGGGGTCCCTTCCTGGCCTGCCTGGATCCTAGGGCCGGGCCTATGGCTGCCCTAGGGGGTGGGTGACCGAGGCTGCTCCTGGCAGAGGTGGGGGACTGGGTGGGCCCGAGTGTGCACGTCTGGACCCCGCGTATACACAGGGACCCCAGGATAGCCCTCAGGGCGGCGGGGGCGGCACCCTGCCAGGAGCAGGCTGCAGCTGGGGGTGACAGGCTGGGGGGTCCCAGGTGAGCATGAGGGGTTCTTACCACATTTGGAAAGCCTCCCCGTCATCATTTCCATACAGTTAGTGGTGTCTGGAGCACAGAATGGAGAAAGGAGGGAGGGAGACGTGTGAAAAAGTCTTCCCACTTGGACCCCTGGCCAGGCGCTGCCCTCAGCCTCTGGCCAGGCCCTCAGGGAGAGGCAGAGCCCGGCGTGGGGCGTGGCCATAGCCGAGTAGGGGGTTTGCTGGGGCCGGCCGACTGGAGAGAGGGGCCAGACGGGGAGGGGGTGGAGCCCAGAGCGGGGCGGGGCTTACAGAGGGCCGGGCTGGGGTGGGGTGGGGCTGGGGGTGGAGCCTGGGGTGGGGCTGGCTCAGAATATGGGCGCTGCGTGGGGGCCTTGTCCTGGGCAGAGGAGAGTCCTGCTACAACCAGAGCCGGAGCATGGGACGTGGCCCTGTCCCTTGGGTGCCCTGGGCCTGCCTGGCCCTCCGTCCCCTCTGTCCTCCCTGGGCCCAAGACATAGGCTCTGGCACCGAGAAGCCCAGGGTTCTGGCTGTGCTCTACTCTGGCCATCTGTGCGTCCTCACTCTGCCACTCTGCAGCTCAGGCAGCTGCGTGGCTCCCATCTGCCCCTCAGCTCGTGTTGGCCCCCCCCTTCCCTGACCCTCTCCCACCTTCTGCTGGGCCTGGGAATGCTGGTGCTGGCAGGGGCCTAAGGTGGGAGGCTCCTCCCTCAGGGCCCTCACAGGAGCCTCTGCTAGGTGGGATGTGACCTCTGGGCCTCCTGTCCCTATTGGAGTGGCCACCAGGTCTCTTGCCCTGGAAGCTGAGGGGCCCCCACTTCTGCCCCCTGCTCACAGCGGCTCTAGAACTGAGCTCACCAGACAAGAGCACCTGAAGTGGGCGGGAGGGTGCTAGGAAAGGCCAGAGTCCAAGGAGACCCATCAGGAGGCCTGGGGATGGGGCCAGGGCATGGGCTGGGTTCCTGGCTTAGGCTCCCCCAGGTCCAAGGCCCCCCGAAGGAGGGCAGGGGAGAACGGCTTGGGGCCCAGATTGGGTACCCAAGAGTTTGCAGGGACATGGGTTTGGGCACAGGTCTAACCAAGGCCCCCGCTTTGGGATGGGGTTAGGACTGGAGGTAGAGCCCAGGGGAAGGGTGGTGTCCACCTTGTTCACTGCTGTGCCTGGGACTTGGCATGAGGGACGCCTGCTAACAGGGGCAGAATGACCCCTCTTAGGTTACTGTCCATGGCCCAGACAGGAGGAGAGAGACTGCGGCCCCCAGACAGTGGCTGCAGGCCTGGGCATCTGCTGGGCGGCACACCAGGCCCTAGCCTTTGCTCACGTCGCTGGACAAGCTCTGTCCTTGCCTGGCCTCAGTTTCCCTCTGTCAGCCCTACTGTGCTCTGAGATGGAGGCCCTGGAGGCCCTGAAGGCCCAAGGAGCTACCTCCGCCCCACGCCCTGCCTCCAATGCCAAACTGGCTCCCGGGACCAGGCTGCTAGGGCCACCCCCGCCCTGACCTGCCCGTGGGGTGACGGACGAGGCACATGTTGGGGGAGAAAAGGGTAACACACACGATGAAATGAGGATGGCAGGGCGGGGAGGAGGGGAACAGGTGGGGCCGGTCTGGCCTCTCGGACCCCACCAGGCTGGAGGAAGGGCCCACTGAGGCTCCAGCCGACGGGGGTGCTCAGGGCTCGGGCTGGATGCTGTGCTCCGGACCCCAAACCCTGACACAGGCCTCACGGCAGGCTGTGCCCTACCAGCATCCTGACAGCAAGCACACCCTTGCTAACGGACTGCCCTGCCCAGACACGGGCTCACCCACCCCCACCCACGGTGGGCACGTAGCCCACTCCCCACCAGATGCTGAGCGGTGTGGGCTCTCAGGCCCTCAGACCCCCAGCACCTCCAGGCCTGGGCCGCCCCTTTCCCTGTGGGACCCCTTGGAGGCCCAGCTGGGGAGCCCCTCCTTTGGGAACTCATGGCCAGACAATCACAGGCCTGTCACGGGGAAGGCAGGCGGCAACAGCCCCACCACGTGTCAGCCAGCGTGGACGCTAGGCCCACAGGCTCGCAGGGTGCCCCTGGGGGAGTCCCGAGGGCGGCGGGCTCCCAGGCAGGACCTTGGCCACTGCTCTCCTGGAGCCTGTTCTGGCCGGCCCGGGGCCAGGCTGCCCGTGTCTGGCTGCTCAGCCTGGGTGCTGGGCCCTCTGAGGCCTGTCCAGGGCTGGGAGCTGGCCGCTGGATGTGTGAGGGGCACAGGGCGCCCTTCTCGGGGCCAGTGTGGCTCTCGCCAGAGGACCTGCCCGCAGCCCCCTCCCTGCCCCTGCGGCGGGGCCGGACACCTTACCTGCCAGCGTCAGAGGCTACTCTCGTAGCTGGTGGCCACCTTCTGGCCCTTAAGCCCAGCACCCCAGCTTAGTCCTGGCGCTGGCGGGGGGGGTTCTACAGTGGACAAGAGGCGCCTTTCAGTGTGGTGTGCTGGGCCCTACCTCCCTGGGTGTGCAGAGATGGGCCGGCCCACTGCGCCGGGGAGGGCCCTGCCCCCTGGGGGGGGCAGGGAGGTGGGCACGTCGGAGGGGCCACACCCCTGCTCACCGGCCCGCAGGGCGGCCCAAGCTGAGCCCCCGCCTCACCTGACAAATGCTGGGCGGCGGGCTGGTCGTGTGTGCTCAGGAGCTGGGTCTGAATGGTCTCCACAACCCTCTTGAAGCGGCGGCTAGGGCCTGGGGAAGACAGGGGGTCATGCCCAGGTCGGGGCTGTAGCCCGGAGCCCGCAACCTGGGCCCGTGGCTCACCGGACAGCAGCGTGAATGTGACGGAGTAGATGCCGTTCTCCTTCTGCGCCGCCCCGCCCTCGGTGTAGGTGATGTCCACCTGGAACTTGACCGGCTTCTGGAACACCGCCGGGCCGCCCGTCGCCTTATACTCAGCCCGGAAGCTCGTCTGGGAGATGACGCTGTGGCTGAGGCTGGGGATCTGCGGGGTGGGGGGCAGCATGAGCGTGCTGTGCGCCAGCCGCCCTGCACGGCCCCCCTCGCACCCCCAGCCCCCGCCCCCGCGAGCCGGGCCGGAAGCCTGTACCCCTCTGCCTGCGTGCGGGTTGGGACGTGGGCGCAGAGTGGAAGAGGAGAGGGTCAGGGCGGACAGGCACGAGGAGGCCCCGTGGAGCCGCTGCCGGCAGCCGGCACCCGCGTAGCAGCCTCCAGAGGCTGGGGCCACACGGCCATTGCCGAGGACAACACCCTGCCGCTCTGTGGGCTCGGGAAGGGCGCCGCTCCCAGTGCGGGCAGAGGGGCCCTACGCACTTGACATACGGGCAGCAAAGGGAAATGCCCTTGAAACGAAGTCAGGAGGCAGTCTTGCCCTGGAGGAGTCACCCCTAGGACAGGGCTCTGCGGCTCAGGAGAGGTCGGAAGGCCCAGCCCATGCTGGGAGGCTGGGCAGCGGAGGACCTTGCAGGGTGCAGGGAGAGGGAGGCCCAGACCAGGGGCCCTAAGGAGGAGAGCAGGCTGCCATGGCAGGTGGCCCCCCGCCCTTGGGGAACTTGGGCTGAGGCCGCACCAGGCTGAAGAAAGCCCCGCAGCAGGTCCCAGCCCTGATGGGGGTGGGGCAGCTTCAGCTGCAGGGGATATGCTAGGATCCCCGGGGACCCAGCACCGGGCCAGGCCCTCTGACAGGACTCTGGAGGCACACCTGCAGGGCTTTCTGCTCCATGTGCTCAAAGAGCTCCCAAAGACAAACGGAGCGCACCCAAGGCTTGAGTGCAGCCCACCCTCAGGGAGCCGCCAGGCCCCAGCGGGAGGCAGGGGCTCCAGGAGGCGGCAGCCGGGGGGTGGGGGGAGCGCACACGGGAAACGGAGACAGGCCTCTTGGGACAGGACCCGGCAGAGGTCCCCTCCCCTTTGAGCTTCCTGTGCTTTACTCCCTGTCTCAGCGGCGCTCCCACCGCCAGGGCTGCTGAGAACGAGGGCCGGCCTCCCTCCCCAGGCCAGGGGCCTGAGCAGTGACCCTCTGGCTCCAGCCAGGCAGGCGTCCCCAGACGGGTGGGAGGCTCACCGACAGGAAGGCGTGAACAATGTCAGCTTTGATAGAGCTCAGGGGCTTGTCCTTGATGACCACGAAGATCTGCTCCTCCTTCTCCAGGTTGATGAAGTTCCCAAACCATGACTTCTTGGCAAGCCTGGGGGAGGGAAGTGCGGGCAGAGGGCTGCTCGTATCAGGGTATGCTCACTGTCAGCCCAGCCTCTGAGGACAGGCCCGCCCTCCCCTCCTGGCCAGGGCCAGCTTGCTGCCCCAACTCCTCCCCTCCCACCCCCCGACTCCTGCCCTGGCCCCCGACTCCTCCCACCCTCACCCCAGGGCCCTAATGCTAATCCCACAGTCTTGGCCGGGCCCCATTCCCCCATGCCTGTCTGGGTCTGGGCAGTGCCCACCAGAACCCACCAAAAAGGAAAGGAGAGCTCACCCTGACCCCCAGCCTTACTCCTGTTTAAGCCACCAAGTTTTGCGGGAATTTGCTCTGCAGCAATCCTGCCGCAGCCTGGAGGAAGGTGCCCCCTACCCTGGGGCTGCATGGGGAGCAGGGGCAGTGTGGGAGGCCGCGGTACAGGGTCGGGCCTGGCCGGGGAACTCTGCGCCCATGTGGACAAATGGACGGGAGACACACTGCATGGACAATGGGGCCTGGGGGCCCAGGATGCTACATGCCCTTCCCACCTGGTGGGACAGCCCGGCTCCCCCCGGCCACCCTGTCCTCGAGGACCAGGGGCTGCCCAGCCCGGGCCGCTCTGGGACATGGAGGCTGCTTCCAAGCCAGGTGCTGTGCCAGGTGGGGCAGGGGTGTATCCTCCTGCACGAGGCCCCTCACCTCGCTCGTGCCCAGGGCCTCTCTCTGTCCTCTGTCTTCTGTCTGGCCTCGTTATTCTGTCCTGCACCTGCATCTGACCTGCGCTTTCTGCAGCCCCCCCACCGCGGTGCACACCAGCGTGGGTGTCCCTCGGCTGGCCCCAAGATCCTGCCTCCTGGGGCACGGACGGGGCCAGGACTTGCTTCTAAGCAGAACGAGTGACAGATGTCCCCTCCAAGAACACGTGACTCAAGGCCACGTCTCCTGCTTGCTAGCAGGTCTGGACTGCATGGCGACCGAGCCCCCTGACGTGACGGAGAGGCCCACGGTCCAGCGGACCACAGGCCCTGAATCCCGCCGACGACCGAGGGCGCTGGGCCACGGGTGCTGCCCCAGATGAGCCTGCCTGGAGGTGACCACAGCCCACTGACTCTGGAAAGCGGAGGGCCCAGCTGGCCCGGCCCGGGGCCTGACCCACACAGCCCGAGACGTGGAGCGCGTGGTGTTTAAGGCAGCTGAGCTCGAACAGTCCGCCAGGCTGCAGCGCTGACGCGTCCTGACAGCCGTCTCGTGGCTCCGCCGATGGAACGCGCCCATTCGGACGGCGAGGCCCAGGAGGGCCCCGGCCCAGCATCTTGCTCTGCCACCGGCGCTGGCAGGGGCAGGTGCTCGGACACCTCTCGGTGGTTTTCCTGACCACGTGGCTTCCCCTTTCCTGCCCAGTTCCAGAGCTGGCCTCTGCTCGGCCCAGGGATCCTGACCCAACAACAGCGCAGAGGTGAAGACAGGGAGGCACGTCCTGCCGGACCCCCTGGTCACCGGCCACTTCCGCCTCCTTCCCCACATCCTGCCCTCCTGCCCGCTGTCCGCTCCGGGTCCGGCGCTCTCGAGGGCAGGCTCCGGCCCCAGCCGCTCCCTGCCGTGCCCCTGCACCTGCCACAGGGCCGGCAGCCCAGCAAGTACTTAGGGGGGGCAGTTCTGGAACCCGCATGAGGGGTTTCTGCTTCTCCTCCCTTGACGAAGAAGAACACCGAAAACATGACTTGTTTGTAGTTTGGCAGCCAGCAGTTTGGCATCTGGCGCAATAGGCGGTCCCATGCCTGGAAGAAGCCTGAAGGAGCCAGAGAGGCAGCGCAGGCCGACTTCAGTGTCAGCTGGGCCACCCGGCAGCCGCCGGGCGTCTCCGAGTAGAGCAGACCACGCTCCCTCGTGTGGTGGGCCTCGTCCAAGCAGGCGAAGGCCTCAGGAATAAAGGCTGCAGCTTCCCCAAGGAGTTCTGCTCAACTCAACACCGCAGCGTGAATTCCCCACCTGCACACGTCACTCAGGGCTGTGACGTCACCCAAACTGGAACCTCCGCCTGCCGAACCTACGGTCTCCGACCTGCCATCCGCCCCAGCCCCGCAGCGGTGCTTGCCTGCGAGCCCCGACGAGCCCCGGCTGAGCGCGTCCTCTGCAGGAGGCGGGGCCCGGGCGTGAGCGGCTGCGGCCTCCCGGGCCACTGCGCGTCTGCTCGGGCGCACCAGCCGGACCCCGGGAGGGGGCGGGGCCTCCAGACGGACTCGAGGATGGGAGGCTGCGGGCCAACTGCACCTGCCCGGACGCCCAGCAGTTACGTTACAGGGGTGTCTGAGCGCGGTGACAGCAGCAGGAAGTTCCGGCCGAGGGGCACTAACGGTGGGAGGGGCCGCGTGCCGCGCCCTAGCACCTCCTGCTCGGTGACGACAGGGGCCTCCGAGGAGGCTGCCTGTGCTCCTCGCGAGGCCCGCCCCGCACCCACGGCGCCACTCCTGTTCACACGGCGTCCTCCAGGGCTACAGGCCAAGGCCGCCGCCGGGGCGGGAGAGCGGGGGCAGGGCCGCTCCAGGGTCTCCGCCCCAGTCCAGACTGGCCGCTGGTGAGCCATGGATCTGCTGCCCATCGCCTCCCATGGGCCCTGCTCCTTCCTCTTGGCGAGGGTCAGCTGAGGGCTTGCTCTGCTCCTGGCCTCGAACACCACCACCCTCCCCTGGACGCGCGTCCCCACCAGGCCGTCCCGTGGCTGTCCCTCCGTCTCTTTGGCCAGCACCATGTTTCCGCCTTGAGACGCTCCATCCCTATGAGCCCCCAGGTCTCCGGCTGTGCTCCAGGCTCCACTCTGCCCAGCGCAGCCCTCCCTGGTGGAGGCTACCCGCTGCAAACACCAGGCTGGTCCTTCTCGGGCTCCCCGGACCGGGCGTGTGCAGGGCCGAGCCTGTGGCCAGAGCAGGGTGAGCACACCTGCCAGGAGGGCTTGGGCTCCGGTCTGCAAGCCTCGCCCCGCGTGGAGGCTGGGGCTTTCAGCTGGCGCCCCTCCGCCCCTCCGAGGCATGGCTGTGCCGTCCCTTGCCTCCAGCCAGCCCTCGGCTGTGGCTTCGGCGCAGGGCCAGGAGGAGCTGGCCGGCTCCCTCAGCAGCGCAGACCCTGCTCCCCAACCTGGCGTTCAAAGTGCCGGAGACAGAGGTGTGGGTGTTGAAGAGGAGGTGTCCCAGGCAGGGGCTGGTGGGGGGCTTCTGGGCAAGCACAGGGTCCCAGGGAGAGGGAGAAGAGGACCTGGAGGGGCTGGGGTGCTTCGCCCCGAAGCCCTCATGGGCCCCCTGGCCTGCCATGAGGGAGGGTTCAGCACGGGCCCCCCCTATGCACTTGGCGTCTGGCCACCGGGAGGGAGGCCAGTGGCTCACCCTCGACCTCGGGCAGTGACCACTTACTCTGGAGAGGACTCCGGGGTCAGGTTGGACATCTCTTCGGGTGTTGGAACTGCGCACACACGGGAAGGACAGGGAGAGAAGGTGTGACCACTCTGCCCTGCCCTCACCAGGGTCCCCCCCGCCCCTCACCGTGACCGGGGTCTCAGCCACCCACAGGCTCCCGGCCCCTGCCGGAGCCTAGGGCCACGGGGCTGCCCCAGCCTCTGGTGCTGTAATCAGGCCAGACCTTCTCTGGCCTACAGCCGGCCCCGCTGTCCCCCCGACAGATGGCACTGGTCACCCAGGCCCACCCATCAGCTGTGCCGGAGGCTCGGATGGCCCGGCAGTGCCCACTGACCCTCGGCACCCGGCGCACAGCAACGGGCTGCCCACCGCTGCCCCATCCCATGGGCTTGCTGACGGCCCTCGCCCCCACCCACCCGGCGGCCGGCTGTCCTCCCAGGGCTCAAGCAGCCTGGCTTCAAGTGGCCACTGGGCTGAAGGGAAGCCCAGGAGCTGGGAGGGGCCCCCGGCACACAGCGGGCAGGCCCGGGAGCAAGCAGCCGTCTGGCGGCACCGCCTGGGCCTGTGCCAGCCTGGAGGACACCGACCGACCGCTGCCCTGCTCGTGGTCAGGGTCCCGGCACAGCGCAGAGGGGGCAGGCCCTGCCACCCCCGCGGCCCCTCTTCCCGCCACTGACCCTGCAGTTTCCGGCGGTGGAAGCGGGGTGACCCCAGGAAACTGTTCTTGATGGAGTTGAGCCGCGTCCTCCAGGGCACCCCTCCGACGCTGGGGCTGGACGGTGGCGTGGGGTTGGGCGTGCCTGCCGGGCTCTCCTTGGGCGTGTGCACGGGCGTCCCCTTAGGGGTGGGGAGGGGACTACCCCTTGGAGAGGGGTGAGGGGTCACCTGTATGGTGGGGACAGATTTGGTGTTGGGTTCAGTCCCGGCGGTCGGGAGCCGGATGGGAGCCGGCATGGTCGGCGGGCCCGGGGGCAGGGCCAGCTGGGGGCCTAGGCCCCCCGGGACAGGGGGTCGGGCCTGGGTGCCAGCCGGGAGTGGGTTGGACTTGGTGCCCTGCAGCGGCTTGTCGCTCAGCTTGGCCTTGCTCGGCAAGGTCTGGGTCTTGGGGTTGGGCCGCAAGGCGGCCTGTGGAGGGAGGACGTGTCCGGGCCCGGAGGCGCTCCGACAAGCTTCAGGCTCCACGGAGGTGGCCAGGGGGCAGGCCACAGAGGGGCTCTCGGGAGGCGGGGGGGGCAGGGCAAACTTTCTAACAGGCTACAGGGCAGGCGCAGAGGGCAGGGAGCAGAGCGCGAGGGTCCGCGAGAGCCACCATGCGAGTGCCCGCCGCCCCCCGCATGCACACACAGCACCAGGAGGACCAGAAACGTTCAAGCAGGACCCCAGGGCAGGACCAGCGGGACAGGCAGGTGTGGGGGTGGGAGCGTTTGCCATAAAAGAAAACAAATAACACAGGAGAAAACAAACAAAACAAAAGAACGTGCAGTTAGCCCCAGCAGCAGGCGGGGGGCACGGGCCCAGCCCGGGCTCAGGGAGCCTCCCCTGCCCACCCCCACCGGTGCACGCTGGGCCTCTTGGAGCTGGGGGGGCGGGGCGGGGTGGGGGCTCACCCTGGGGCTGCTCAGCGGGCTGGTGGACAGGCCCGAGGAGGCGCCACTGATGGACCTGGACCTGCGGACACAGGTGCGGGGCGGGTCAGCCGGGAGGGGCCACGGCTCTCAGCTTCTCTCCCCCGGACGGACCCTCCAAGAGGCCGGGAGTCCCGGCCGAGAGCCTTGAGGCCGCCCTGTCCTGCGCACACCTGGCCACATGCAGGGCTGTCCTGCTGTCCCCACCCCGCCTCTCCCGGGGCCCAGGAGGGCCCCACAGCCCCTTCAGGGGGCCCCGTCAGAGCCTGTCTCCGGGCTCCTCTCCTCTACGTGGGAGCTGTCCCATGGCCAAGGCCCAGGCCCAGGACGGCACCGGGAGCCTTCAGCAAGAGTCTGTCAGGGGCTTGGGCGGACAGAGGGACGAGGGGAGACGGGCGCTTCCTGGGAGCTGCATCCAGCCCCCGTGTCAGGTCCACTGTCCAGCCCCCAGTGCCCCGAGCCCACCCAGAACCCCCCAAGGCTGAACTGTCACAGGCCCCGAGTCCTGTGCTCGGCGGACAGCCTCCCATCCTAGCACGTGGGCCACCAAGTGGGCACTAGCCCAGCCCTGCCATGCCCATGGTCCACCTGCCCGGCCCAAAGGTGCCCACAGTACGCCAGCCCATAGCTCTCTCCTCACTGGTACCACGGGGGCCTAGGCAAGGCCAGGCTGGGGTGAGCGCTGGCTGGGACCACCAGCCTTGTCCACCACCGGCCCCACTGGGCCCGCAGACCTGGCGGGGCAGGAACCGGGCGCCCTGCGAGGCAGGGGCCTCACTCCACCACACCACACGGCCTCGGGGAAGGCACACACCATGCTTGCTCAGCCCTGGGTGCTGGCACCTGCCACCCTTCGAGGAAGGAAGCAGGGAGGGGGGCCAAGGCAGCCACAGGAGAGAAGAGGAAAAGAGTGAAGGCCTGCCCACACCAGTCAGCCCAGCCCCGAGAGGGCTCTCGCCCACCCACTCACACCCCGGCCCAGCCCCTGGGCCTCAGGGAGGAGCTGAGCCCACTCTGACCAGGGCCCCGGCATCTGTGGGCTAGGGCCCCATGGCAGTGACCCTCCAGCGTCTCCACCTAACACAAGCCACGGAGCCAGGGGGCGGCGCTGACCTTGCTCCTGGCCCCCCAACCCAGCCTGCCCGCGGCCGGGACAGTGCCCAGAGCCAGGCCTGGGTCCAAAGCTTTCAGATGCTGGGAAGGGAGTGGGGGCCGTCGGTCCCGGCTGGTGCCCACCCCAGCAGCCACAGGCCGGCCGGGCAGCAGCCAAGAGTGAGGCCCAGCGCCTGGGGCCTGCCTACCACTGAGCCAGCCATGCGCTTGTCACTTGGCACAAGGAAACCAGAAAAAAAGCAGTGGAAGGAAGAGGGGTGGGGGCTGCCTCCACAGCGTCCTAACCAGGCCGCACCTGCCCGAGACAGAAAGGAGGGGGCCAGCAGGCAGAGCAGCCAGGGCGGGGCGACGGGGGGGGCGGCAAGAGGCCAGCAGTGAGCAGGCAGGGGCACGGGCAGGTATGGGAGCAGGCGGGGGGGAAACGGGTGAGGCCCGACCGCCGTCGCCCACGGGCAGCAGGCCCTGCAGGGGCAGGGCTGGGGGCCTCAGGAACGCCGGGCCCCATGCAGAGACCCCTGAGACAGTCATGCCTCCTGCCACGTCCTGGGGAGCCTGCCACCGCCCTGGGCTGCCGCTTCCACTGAGGCCTCACAGCCTGCAGACGCTCGGGGGTCTGCAGTGGAGAGCGCCGTGGGTCTCCCCGCCTGGTCAGGCCGGCCACTGGCCTTGCCCCGGCAGCCCACGCCTCCTCGGGGCCTCAGGCCCGCCTGGCCCAGGCCCTTCCCCAGCTTGCTGGAGGTCTCCCTCGCCAGAGCTGCGAGGGCTGGAAGCGCCTCAGGCCCAGCCCTGCCACCAGGCCCACCTTCGTCCTTGGGGCTGGGGGGCGGGGGATGGGTGGGCAGGGTGTATACCTGTCTTCTTTGCTGAATTGGGGGTGGGCTTCAGCGATATCCAGGCTTTTACTGAACATTGCTTTACTACAGCAGGAACAAAGCGAGAAAACAGAGTTACTGACGCAGCCCCACCAGGCGGCCCGGGAGGCTGGACCTCTGCACAGCTCCACACAAGCTGGGCATGGCCCACCTGGCCCCAGGCCAGGCACACGGGCATGAGGGAGGTCAGGCAGGAGAGTGCCAGGGCCACAGCGCACCCCACCCTGGTGACCTGCTGGGCGCGGGGGGCGGGGGGGGCAGGCCTTGGAGGATGTCCAGTACCCACCACCAGCCCTAGGACCCCTGCAGCCCCAGCCGGTGGCCCAAGCCAGAAAAAGCAGCGGGGCCTGGAGCGGCAGCGGCAGGTCGGGCGGTGTCGGGAGGAAGGGACGCTCCAGGGGCCGCCGGGACGGTCCACAGCTGACCCGGTCCCAGCTCCTCCCACCCTGAGGCAGCCAGGCCTGGAAGGCAGAGCGGGACACTGGGCTCTGTGGCCTCTCATGCCCAGCCCCTGCTCCAGGCGGGTGAGGGAGGGACGCGGGGTGGCCAGGATGTGGTGGGCCCCACATCAGCACTCAGCCTGCACTGAGCAGGGGCAAGGCTCAGGAAAGGTGGGCTGGAGAGAGGTGGCCTCTCACCCTGGGGGCCTGCTGGGGAGAGGGGTGCCCATAACAAGCAGGACGCGAGGCACAGGGCAGGAGCTCAGCCAGCAGAGACCTTTCTCCCGCCACCCTCACCAGCCCCCCGGTGCCGGAGCCCATGGGCAGCGGCCCGTGGCGGTCTAGAGCCAGCCCGTTTCCATGGGGGAGGCCTGGGACCACCAAGGGAGCTGAGGACCACCAGCCCAGTTTAATCCTGATGGTGGCCCTATTTCCTGGCAAATACCTTGAGAGGCCCGGCTGTCCCCAGCACTCAGCCCCCAGCTGACCAGGGGCAGCCCCAGAGCCGGGACCCCCAGAGCTGGGTCTCCAGGTCCAAGAGCTATAGCAAAAATCCCCTCCCCAAGCAGGCCCTGCCCAGCGCCAGGATGAGGACTGGCCAAGGGCCCCTCCTTGCCAGCCAGAGTCAGCTGAGGCTCTGCAGGACCAGGACACCCTTCCTTCCTCCAGGGTGCGCTGTTGGGACAGCCCGGACCTGCTTGTGACCAGGCAGAATTCCATCCTTGTCCTTGACCCCCACACTACCACAGATGACCCAAACATGGGGCCAGCATCAAGCGGGGACAGGCCTGCTGGGCGGCTCTGAACATGGCCTGACCCCAGTGTAGCCAAATCCAGTCCACTCCAGTCCAGCCCAACCCTGTTCCAGATGGCTGACCAGCCCAGTACAACCCAGGCCAACAGAGCAAAGCCCAGTCCACCCCAGTCCCCCCCAGCTCAGTCCAGTCCAGCTTAGTTCAGCTCAGTCCAGCTCAGTCAAGTCCAGTCTAGTCCAATCCTGCTCAATCCAGTTCAGCCCAGCTCAGTCGAGGCCAACCCAGTCCACCCCCATCCAGCCCAGCCCAGCCCAGTCTAGCCCAGCTCAGTCCAACCCAGTCCCGCCGACTCTAGGCTAGTCCTGTCCAGCCCAACTCAGCTCAGTATAACCCACCCAGCTCAGCCCAGCTCTGCTCAGTCTAGCTCAGTCTAGCCCAGTCTAGCCCAGTTCAGCCCAGTCCAGCCCAGCCCAGCTCAGTCCATCCCAGTCCAGTTCAGTCCATTCCGGCTCAGTCCAGCCCAGCGCAGCTCCGTCCATCCCAGTCGGGTTCAGCCCAGCCCAGCCCTGCTCAATCTAGTCTAGTCCAGCCCAGCTCAGCCCAGCTCAGCCCAGCTCAGCCCAGCTCAGTCCAGCTCAGCACAGTACAACCCAGCTCAGCCCAGCATAGTCCAGTCCAGCCCAAGTCAGTCCACCCCAGTCCGGCCCAGTCTAGCCTAGCCCAGTTCAGTCTAGTCCACCCCAGTCCAGCCCAGCCCAGCCCAGCTCAGTCCACCCTGGTCCAGCTCAGTCTAATCCAGCCCAGTCCAGCTCAGTGCAGTCCAGCTCAGCCCAGCTCAGTCCACCCCAGACCAGGTCAGTCTAACCCAGCCCAGCTCAGTCCAGTCCAGCCCAGCCCAGCTCAGCTCACTCAGCCCAGCCAAGTTCAGCTTAGTCCAGTCCAGCACAAGCAGCCTGAACAGCCTGGCCCAGCCCCTAGCACAGCGTGGTCCAGGCCCACCCAGTGGCCTTGGCCCAGCCCCAGGGCCGGGGGGCAGAGATGAGCCATGCCAGGCCCAGCACAGCCCGTGAGCAGTGCCAACGCTGACCAGGCCAGGCCACCAGGAGGCAGAGCGTTGGGTCCTCCTGGAAGGCACGCACCTCTGGCCATGCTGGGCCATCTCGATGGCCCGCCGCGCGGGCACCGGGGAGCCGCCGTCCGTCACGCTGAGCACCTCCATGGACTTGCGTTCAGGCCGCCGCTTGCCGTGCCGGTTCAGCATTGGGGAGTCCACACGCTTCCGGGGAGGGTCTGTGTGCAGACAGGGGTCAGGGCAAGGCAGCCCGCTGGGCCTGGGAGGGGCAGCATGGGGCCAGGCCACCCTGCCACCTTATACCTATTTCATTTCTGGGGGGCAGGTCCTCGTCCTCATGGCTCGGGTACCTTTCTTTCCGGTCCAGGAGAAGGAAATAAATCATCTTCTCCTGGTTTTCCCTGCAGTGGGTGAGAGGCACCAAGAAGGGTTGGCAAGTCTGTTCCTGGATGGGGTCCCACCCCATGGCCGCCTGCCTGGGAAGGGCCGCTGGGGCCCCCGGCCAGGCTGCGCCGCAGCCCCCCGCCAACGTACTCCTCGGACAGCAGGTCCTGCAGCAGCTTGTTGCGGTCCCGGAAGCAGCCCAGAGAGTGCATGCTGTCCAGCACGTCGGGGTCGATGTCCTCCAGGCTGGGCAGCGAGCGGATCTGCACCTTGCGGGGGATGGGCTGCTCTGGCTCTGGCTCGTTCTTGCCCCCTCTGTGGACGACAGGCACCCAGGGTCACTCCCTTGCCCTCCGCAGCCTGGGGCTCCTCCGCCCCCCACCCCGAGGTGCCGGGAGGGCGGGGCCCACCCCTTCCTGGGGCCCTGAGTCTTGCTGCTCTCTGTGCGCCCAGCCCCTGCACGCCTCCTGCATCCTGCCTGAGCCCAGCACAGGCCCGCCCGGGGGCCTTGAGAGCCAGGAGCGGCTGAGGCTGGGGGCAGGCCTGCCCTGGGCTGGGTCACCCCCCGCCTTCCCTAACAGGCCCTCCAGGCCACGGTGACAGGTGGCAGGCAAAGCAGGCGATGTGGGAGGAAGAGCTACTTACATATACCATATGTGTTTCTGAATGTGCTCTAGCTACAAGGAAAGAGAAACAGGGAGTTAGTACGAGGAGGGATGGAGGAGCCCACGTTAGGAGGCCGGCGGCGGGAGCATGGGGAGGGACAGAGCACAGGAGCGTGCAGACAGCATGACAGGAGGAGTGGGGGGGGAGGGGGCTGGTGAGGGGGGGGGGAGGGGAGGAGAGAGGGAGAGAGGACATGGGGGACAATGTGGGTGGAGGGTGGGGAACGTGTGGGGAGGGGCTGCGTTCCCGGAGGCTCCAGGTAGCACCCTTGGCCCTGCCTACCCCAGGTCAAAGAGAAAATGCTGACCTAGAGAGAGAAGGAAGGTGGGCAGGGCCAGGGGGCTGCCGGCAGGGCTGGGGGACCTGGGCGGCAGAGGGAGGGAGCACGGAAGCAAGGTGACCTCTGGGGTCTCAGGCTCCAGGAAGGAGGCCAAGGGAGGAGGGCAGGGGAAGCGGCCAGGGTGGCCCTCCTGTGCACAGGAAGGGGCTGGGTGCAGGTGTGAGCAGGAGGCTTGGAAGCCAGCCCTGCTCTCCCCCCAACTCCACTCGGGACAGCTTGGCTGGGGAGGGTGGGTGAGGGTGGCCTCTTGGGCGCTGGGCCGCCCCTGTCCTGGGCAGGCCAGCCCGGGGAGTCCTGCTGCCCCTGCTCTGGGGACCCGCCCTCCCGGCACTAGCTGAACCCCAGGGAGGCCGGAGGCGGTCAGCTGGGGGCGTCTTTAGGAAGGAAGAGCTGCCCTCGGACCTTCCCTGGCCCCCAGGCGTCAGTGGTCGTGGGGAGCTATTCACACGGACCAGGCCCTGGAAAGCCCAGGACTCAGGGGTCAGCATCAGTGGGCACTCCCCTGCCGGGCACACCAGCACTCGCAAACCACGCGTCCACACCCGTGCCCGCAGACAGCCACGCACACACACGGCGCTTCCTCACCCACGTGCTCACACGCACCGTGCACACCCAGGGCCCCAGGTGGGGTTACCCTGCAGGCGCCATCCCTTGGCCCGGGAGGAGACGCCGGAGATGGGACCTTGCAGGCGCGGGGGGGCGGCGTAAGGGAGAGAAGGAGGCCCCCCAACCCCTCCGGGACGCCCGGGACCCACCGTGAGGCGCCGGGCCGCGTCCACCTCGATCATGCCCCGCAGCAGGCTCTGGCAGTCGGGCGGGATGAAGTGCGGCATGTGGAACACGCCCCGCTTCACCTTCTCCAGCAGCTGCCGCAGGTTGTCGTCGTCGAAGGGCAGAGCCCCCTGCCGGCAGGGGACTGGGGTCACCTGGGGAGGGGCGCACAGGGGCGGCGCCGCGGGGGAGGGGAGGGGGCCTCACCACCAGCAGGGCGAACAGGATCACGCCGCAGCTCCACACGTCTGCCTTGCGGCCGTCATACTTCTCCCCCTGCGGGCGGCAGTGGGGTAGGCGGGGTGAACGGCCGGGCTCCGCAGAAATGGTGGGGCCCAGGCACAGGGTGCAGGGGGCAGTTGGCCAGGGCCCGGGGTCTGCAAGGCTCAGGTGGCAAAGCCCCCTGGACAGGGGGCGACAAGGGCGGCGGGGGGGCTACTTACCCGGATCACCTCGGGGCAGGCGTAGTGGGGCGATCTGGGGGCGAAAGCAACAGTCAGGCACGGGGTTCGGGACCTGCTGTCTGCCCTGGCCACCCCACCCCGCCTGCACTTGGGGCTGCCCCCCAGGACCACAGCAGTGCAGACGCCCGGAGGCATGCTCTGCCTGCAGGAGAACGCCCCTCTGGGGGGCCCCCAGGCCCACCAGGAGGCTCAAGGGGCTTTGGTGCCACCCCCTCACAACCCAATCCCTACTGTGTGCTTCTGAGGGAGACTGAGACACAGGAGCCTGTGGGCTCCGCCACGCTCGAGGCTGTCTGCCTGCCGCCCTGGTCCAAGGGGAGTAACGTCCCCGAAGGGCCATGGGGCTGAGTGCCCGCCCAGCGAGCGGGCAGCCACTGGGACCGGACCCGCCTTCCAGGGCCGTGGAGCCAAGCGCAGGCCCGGGCTGAATGGTCACGGGAAGGGTCCCTCCCCAGCGTCACACTTGGCAGCAAAATCTGAGGGCAGAGTGAAGGTCCTGGGGCTCCTGGGGCTCCTGGGGCTCCAGGTCCCCCCACCGCTGAGCAGCTGAGACCACCGGCGGCATGGCCGGGGCAGGGCGGGGGCCTTTGGGGACAGGGGCCGGGCCCTCTCCTGGCCTGGCAGGGCCGCTCACCCGCAGCTGGTCTCCAGCAGACTGTCGCCAACCTGCAGCGACGCCATGCCGAAGTCGGCGATCCGGATGTTGTTTTTCTCATCTAGTAGGAGGTTCTCTGGCTTCAGATCCCTGTGGCTGGGAAGGAAGGTGGGATTGAGGCTGACCAGTCCCCCTAGCTGCCTCCCCTCCCCAAAAGCCTATCTGCACAGCATGGGGCCAATGGGAGCCCAGCCTGGTGACATCACAGGCAGCCAATGAGAAGTCGCCTGCCTGGCGGCTGTGGTCTCAGGGGACAGAGAAACAGAGACCCTCTGGGGTCACACCACCTGCTCCCACCCGCCCCCGAGGCAGGCTTTGCTTCACTCCCTGGGGCCCCCCCCATACGTGCTCTGGGCCGAGGCCAACCTGGGACCCCCAATCCAGGGTGACCTGGCCCCAGGACCCCTGAGAAACCTGAGGAGGGGGCTTCTGGAACCTGGGGTGGACACCTGGCAGTAGCTTCCTGATGCTCCTAAAGGGGGGGGGTCAATAGAAAGTGTGCTGTCTGTTCCAGGGGCACAGGGGGAGTGCAAGGGTGGGGTGGAGATACCTGGTCTGGGGGTAGCTGGTGGGTAGTGAGGGGTACCTGGTGCTGGGAGGTACCTGGT